TCTAAACCATCCAATAGATGCTTCATTCTGCCAAACAAAGATAGAATAGTAGTTTTTTGGATTTACTCATGTCAGTTAGCAGAAAGAAAGCCCAAAAAACCGCCCAAAAAGGTCAAGAAAAGGCTATTTTATATGTTTATTCATTCCTACTAAGAAACTGAGTGCCTCCTGTTTCTGCAAGGGGTGGATTTAGCTTCCTCAGGGTTGGCAGAAGTAAGACTTTCTGATGAATCCGAACCAGTACTGCTCTCTCCTTGCGTTCCTTTGCTTGACCATAGCTTGTTGAATATTTTCTTGGACTTGAGCAACCCCTTCATTTTACTAATAGCTGCTTTGTCTATGTTGTTCTTACTGTCTCCACCATTTTGCTCACTTCCTCCCACTCCATTGCTCAACCTCATGGCAGCCAGCTCGCTCTTAAGGGCCTTGAGCTCCTCGGTTGTTGCCACAGCATCCCAATCTTCCTCCGGATTGGTTGTAGCTGACCTTGTGCTTCCATGAGATGCACTGGCTAGATCCTTGGAGCCCTTAGGTAAGTCAGGAGTGCTACTGCCTGAAGAGGCAGCAACCCTTACCTGCTCAAAGAAGAGTATCTGAACTACTACACGTAAAGGGAGTCTCTCGTTTTGCACTGCGTGCATGCACGCATCGACTGACAGCTTCTTGCAGTCCATCAACTTGCATAACCTTTTCCTCTCACCCTTGCTGATCCCCGGATGCTCCTGCAATAAGATATGGCAGATTGTAGGTAACATGATGGCAAAGTTGGCCTTCACTGTGCATAGTTTCATGATTGCAAAACGTTGGACACTTGAACTTTACAGATAAAAGAAATATGAGTGAAGAAGACTTTCTAATGCCAACTTGTGTTGCTATCAACATGCAATGATGAATATAGCTTGTAGTCAAACCTCAAATTATGCTCTAACACAATGTAAATACTCACCATGACCTATAAATTTTGACTTTAGAAAAGATTCTCACCTTAAGGTATCTGTCAATGGACCGATAAAGCCCATCATGAGCAGGTCTGGAGATGCCGGATACCATCTGAGCAAGTTTAACAAATTTTGACAGGGGTAAGTTGGGATCCTTTGCAATTTCAGCAAGGTATGCATCTACGAGTTTTGCCACCATCAGCTTCGAAGCATCTGAAAATACTCCTGTTCTTCTTATTTCCTGAACCTCATCAGCTTCTTCTAACTCAATTTCAGCATTCTGGTCTTGGTCTTGCATCAAAAACACTCCCACTACCTTCTGCACTGTGTCAACATCATACATTAGAGTTTCTCCTTCAGATGTTCGTATCAGTAGATCATTTGCAGAAGCCTCCTCTAGTTGCTGTCCTATTCTCCTTATGAGCTGTCCTTTGGCCGTTTCTCCTGAGTCCAGCATAATGGCTGCTTTCAACAACTTTATCAAGAAACTACAAGAGACACTGCCTTTCTCAGCAGGCAACAGCCAGATAATTGTATCAATTATTGATCGATACTTTACTGCATCTCCGCAATGGACTGTACCCTTGCTCAAACCTGACAATTTTCTGTATGCAAAAGCTTTTAAGGCTTCTCCTATCACTTCATGAGAAAGTACCCCTTTGGTTTTAATATTTGCCAAAACACGCTTATACACATCAATATCAAGCTCACATATATCCTCAACCCACCAGTCCTTTGGCACTAGCCTATTTCTGACACCGTTTAAATTTGGATCATTTCTATTTTCCTCTGGAAGCTTCTTCCTATTATAAGTATAGGACCAATCAACCTTGGAAATGTCAATACAGGCCTTGGTAGCTATGGCATCAATGCAAAGGCTAACCACCTTGAGTTCCTCAGACAATGGTAACAAAGACTTGGTAGTCTGAAGAACAATGATTGAGTCCTTCCAGCTCCGGAAGATGCTAGAGTTGAGAAAGACATCAATCTTGTAAATGAGGTTCCCCTTTTCAACAGTCTCATTCATTTCTAAGTACTCAGCCGCACATTGAGCAGCAACAACATTGTATGCATTGAGAGTGACAGTCATGCCATAACAAAATTTAGCACATATCTCAAAGGCAGCAGCCCCACCAGGAATGTCAGAAATCTGAACTTCATCATTCTTATCTTCATTTGTGGTTGCAACCAACTTCTGTAAGCGGGCACTTTTTGATAAAAGAGGAAACTGTGTAACAGTTAATCTATCAGTACTATGAAAAAAATGAGCAGAGCCAAGACAGTTCTGTCCAATTGTGAAGAATATTATCAAATTTCAGTAGCATATGCATATTAGCAACAGTTTGAAATTCAAGATAAAGAAGCACATTCTTTTTCAAAAAATAATGCATCAAAAATTAATGAGAGCTGCCAAAAAGCAAACATCTTTTTGAAAAATATTTCTAAGCATATGAAATTCTTGCAAAGAATCACTTGATCTAAACAGATTAAACATGCAAAGTCAAATTATGGTGCCATGTACTGCACAATGCCTCAGATGACATTACATCCACAGCCTATGAGGTTGAACACTCCAACAAAATTAATCACACTATTTGGACTGAAGAACACACATACCTTGTGTAGATAAAACTTCACATTGCCTACAGTGACAATGATGTCGGTTGCCAGCTCACTTGCAACATACCTGGAGCTTAAAAATGTTAGATTCCTTCATTAGGTCATTTCATAAGTTGAATGCACAACTCCTGCTCGTTATGAGGTGTGAAGAATACTTCATACATTCAATCCTTTTGCCTTTTTTTATCCTATTAAACCTATGGAAAAGAAAATTGAAAATCACCCTAGGCAATAGGCAACTTTTATGCCTCTAACACCATCATACAGGAAGAAGAAGTAGCCAAAGGCAATCAGATTTTCTGCTATTTCCACACCAGTTGCACCTAGACACTATTTATTGACCCATAATTTGTGTTTGTTTGTTCCTGTTTTGAAATGAAGGGCTGATATGTGAGACAAAAATTAAGCAATAACATAAATGCTGATGATGTCCTCATGGTTGTGATGTGAGTAAGAATCAGCAAATATTTTTCAACATGGTAATAGAAAAGAATTTGAGAAACTGCCATACTTCAGCACTATCATGAAAGAGCTTCATCTGAAACGATTACATACTTGATATAGAACCAGTCACCAGTACAAGATGATCAGCTTGAATTTGTTCTGCATGTTACAGGCCAAGTGGCAAATGCCACAGCCTTAGTGGGAACACCACCCAGGGATCTTAAGTTTAAGCCCTGGGTTCTCCATCCCCCTCCCCCTAGTATTAGGTGCTATATGTTATATGTACAATTAACCTCTTTCAAAAAAGAAGAAAAAAATGATGATCAGATTGAATTTTGTCCAATTCTATACAAACTCCATTTAAATTAATGCGCCTTTGGATTTGGAGGACATAGTAACACAATATAATCACGGTATCTTTACCCTGGTTTCAATAAATTGTAAACAAACATTATCTGCTTCAGCAAACAAATTTCTTAATGTTTTTATGACTAGAATATATACTTTATGGTATGGAAGTAAAATCATAAATTTGTATGTTTCCCTTGTTCCAAATAATTACACCAACAAAATGAACCTATATAGTCAACTTTATAGACATGAGATTTAAAAGGCAAAGAGCCACTTGATACATATATAGTCAACTACCAATACTCAACAATCAGAAAAATAATAAAAAATATAATAAATTTGTTCTCTTTGAATATAAATGAACTGAAAGAAAGACTAATTCAAACCAACAGGATGGAATTTACCATTTCCTATAAAAAAATAAAATTAAAAAGAGAGTACAGACTTTTAATCTGAAGTATCTGAGATTGGACCAGCTAATGGTCAGAGACACGGGGCACATAAGAAAGCACGAGATCAAAATTAAAACTATGATATTGTTTTCTTTTCCCCGATGAGTAATAGTCAATCAAAAGCCAAGACAAGATAGCATAAATCAAGTCCATGGAAGACATGCATGGAACACAAAAATAAGAGTGCATGATCAAAACAATAAAGATCAGCAAGATTCAAGGGAACAGAATGGGCAATCTTGAAAATTTCTGAAACAGCAACTTTAAAAAGGTGTATGTCCTTGAAAGATTTTTCACTGCAGAAGAGAAAAAAAACTTAAGATTTTCTTTCAGAGAAGACTAAAATTTCGTACAACTTAATTATCAACAAAGACAGTAAGCAATATATCCAGCTTAAATAAACATATAATTCATCCAAAGAGGGGGGAAATCATCAGTAATGCCCTGTCAAAGAAATTTCAAATGCATCTAACACCACAGTGGCAATACTAGTTGCTGACTGCTGTTTCTTTTTTGATATTGGGGGGAGAGAGATTCGAATCCATCTCCTTAGAACGGGGAACTACAGCTTACAAGCCGTGTGCACTGACAACTGTTCAGCAAGAGAACAAAAGAGAGAAAACAAATAAGGGTCTAAATGATCTCACCTAACGTTATTCCCCTCATTGTGAAAGGTATCCGGCTTCGACCCAAGTTTCATAAACTTCATCTTGGCAAACAAAAGATCTTCTTCACCTTCTCTGAATCTAAAAAATATTTCTCTCAGCTGCTCAACTGGTACCTCTCAATCAAGCACCTGACACTCAACACTTCACATCCCTGATGAAAAATAAGCTGACCAAGGAAAAAATTACCGGAAATAGTAAGAAGAATACCCCAGCTGTGGGGACCGACTTTCTGGGATTCAAGGGGCTAAAGAAGGATCCAAAAGAAGGGGAAGGATATATGCCAAGGGTATGACCGAATCTTGACAGCAATCGAGGCGGGGAGTCTGAGTAAGAGAGAGAAGTAGGAAACTGGCAAGATGGGGTTTGAGTAATATTTTAAGCAAAGGTTCCCTTGAATGGCCAGAGAGCCAAGGAAGAAGTTGTTTCCTTGGTCGGCGGCAAAGCCCACGGAGACCGGGCGCAGCCAGTCAGCTGGGGAGACATAGCCAACAGACTCTCTATACTAAATAATTCCCAAAACCAGAAACACTCACAAAGCCACAAGCACAAATCTGACTACACCACACCCTCCATTATTTCTTTATCTTTCTGTGTCTGATTACTCTGTCTCTCTGTTTTCCCTTTTTTAAAGCTTATAAAGATTCATTATCTCCAGGACCTCTTGTGGTTCTTTAAAGCTTCAAGTTCCAAACTTGATATATGCTAAATGGTATATGGTATTTTTATACCGTTGAAGTTTGAGATCCTGCAACGAAAAACAGCATCTTGGTATCAGTTGAAAAAACCACCAAAACGGTGGACAACAAGCATCTACCTTTATTTTTTTCGCAGGGTATGGGAATAAATGAGATGGATCATAAAAATAAAGTTATCATAGTAATGAACAATCAAATATTTACCACCAATAGCAAAATCAATACAAAATTGAACTGAAATCTGAAGAAACTCTGGCACAAAATATCACACAAATCTAGTTAAATAATGGAGGTCAAGATCATACTTCTATGTTATGCTGTGTAAAAACCTCGAAACCCCACATGAACTGGAAATGCCCGTAATCAGCTTGGGAACAAAGACAATCCCCAAAAGCCACTCTCCGTGTAAACCACAACAAAACCCAAGACCCGTGTCACCTTGTATCAAATCCACAAAGCCATGTAAAATTCTAACCACTTTTCCTCCGACAGTTTAAGAAATAAGAAATCCCATTTGAAGCATGAACTAAAACAAGCCTAGGAAACCAAAACAATCTCAAAGATGAGAACCTCTCAAGAAACAAGTGAAAGATCTCAAAATGGTAAAGTGAAACTTACCGAGAAAGCTACAACACCATTGCAAATATGCTATAACTTTGCTTCTTCTCTCCGTCAGGGACATTTCGTCGAACGGGTAAAGACCACAGTGTCCATGCATGAAAACCGAATCATTTTACAATGCCAAACCAAACAAAGCAACAAAATTCCCACAAAACCCACCACAACCAAAAGCTAAAGGAGCAACCCAACAAATACCCATCAGTAAATTAGCTGTCCATTAGTTGCAAAATCTCTCAAGTACAAAACCCATATGGACCCAGAAATTCTTCCAACACAAAAGTGAAAAAACCAAGCTGTTCCCAAATGTTTTCACCTTTGGCTATTGTACAAGGACCCCTACTCTACAACTGTTACTACTTCCTCTTTAGCAGAAAATTTTGCTTTTACTTTGTCACCTTGAGAACGAATACTTCTCTTTTATCAGGACTTTGAGAAGAAAGTGGATTACATTAATTCAATTTTGGGGGGACTGAGGTGAGGGGTAGGCATTAATGCACACAGACACACATAACCAGAGACTGAGCTTGCTTTCTTGTTATCATTCCTTTTCTTTATTAAATGGCCCTTTACTTGCGTCCTAATTAAACCATAGCCACCAAACCTCGGCAGAGGTTATTGCTAACTATCAAATTTGTGAAGGCCATAAATTTAACTTTATTTTTATTAGTTTATAAAATTTTTTAAATAATTAAAAATAATATTTAGAAATACTTATTTAAAAATTAATTTCAATTTATTAAACATAAATATTAATT